ACATTTTTTACTTTTATAAAGAAAATATATATTAATTTTTGTGCCACATAGCTAGCTAGCTGGGTAGCCAAGTTTAGTTGGTGCAATTTTTGATGGTACAACTTAGATCGGATGCTCCATATAATTACGGATTTGGCTTTCTTTTTTATATATTTTATTTTCTTCTAAGAATAATTGTGAGCAGAGCAGGTGGGTCATAGATTTTTTGTTTTTTTTCAATAACTGGACGGCCATCGACTTCTTTTAAAAAAATAATATTCCAATTTATCACTGGTGAAAAGGCAGAAATTAAATTCGAGAGGTCCACATGAAGTACAATGGTGGGTGTCAAGTGAGTCACACCGTCTAAGTTCGAATGTGAGTTGGTCATGCATTCAATTGACGTTGCCTATTATTGATCATGATATCTTGTCTTTGTTAAGTAATTTAATTAGAATCAAGTTCAACACAAAAGCATGTGTGTATAAAATCAGTTCTAATAATTTAATTATAAGAGATGTGATAAGTAAATAGGGTTAATTATAGTTTAGTACAATGTGGTTACACTCTTAAGACATGTTAATCTCTATATTTTTAATTTTTATAATTAGATATTCCGGTCTTTTAAATTCGTGTTTCCGTTGTTAGAGTTTCCGTTAGATCTCACCATTAGTTACCTAGGTGGCATTATAGGGCCCACATCTTCGCTTTTTTTACTTTTTTATATATATATATTAACTTGATATTGATTTGTAGAACGGGGGACATATAATCTGGCCAAAAAGAACTAATATCAGATACACAGGCATCAAGATTTCAGTTAAAGTGAGTGAGCCAGCAGTCCAAAACACGACTGATAACAGATACATATAGACTAATTAGGTCACCCTGTCCACCGAATCGACCTGAAAGCAGTCCAAAAATTTGAAAGACAGTTAACTATCTTTTTCGTTGAAACTGTTGGAATTTACTTTTCTTTTCTTTTGTGTGTGTGTGCGCGCGCGTGCGTGGAGGTTTTGTAATAATTTTTAAAGGTAGGCCTAATGGCCAATGTCCAACACCGATTTGCATGAATAATTCTCTCTGCTTTGATACGATTCTGTTCATCAAATCATTCAGAAGGTGCCCTGCTACGTGCACAAAACAGAGAAATTGCACCAGTATTATATATAATTCCACTCTCCCTTCGATCACGATGGTAATATTCTAATGTGAATTGATGCATGTTTTGGTTTAAATTATATGTTTGAATTGGAGTTCGATTCATATTCATCTAACCCTTTATGAAGGTGAACAAAAAAAGGCCTATGGATTTCGATTCATATTCATTTAGCCATTATTTACATATTATAATAATATATATGAAGTGCATTTGGATTATTTGAAGAACCCTTTTTGACTTTCAGTGCACCCCTGTCAATCTATGGCACCGTGCCACTGCCACCAGTGACGTAGAGTCACGGGTTTTTTCTATTATAAATGGTTCATGCCTTTCGTGGAAGCTTCTATTATTAAACCCAAAAACTGGTGAAATGTATGGATATTTTAATTTTTTACCCAAAGGAGTGGGAAAATAAATCACTGGATATCACTCCTCAGCTTATAATTACAGTTCTAATCTAAGCACTTCTGGCCGACAGCCCAACCCTAGCGAAAGGCTATTTAGGTCAAGAAATGCAACTTCAGCGGTACAAAACAGCCCAGGCAAGGCGTGGGCTCCATTAAGCCCTGGTAAGTCCGAAGTCAAGAACAGCCCGAGCTGTTGCATGAGGGTTGTGATGTCAGTAAAAAAATTTATTTAAAAAAATAAAAAAAATTCAGAATTTTTAAAAAATAAATACCTAGTCATATCTGTGATGTCAGTAAAAAATTTCACTTAAAAAAATTAAAAAAATTCAGAATTTTTAAAAAATAAATACCTAGTCATATTCTCCATTTCCCACACCAAAATTCTATACAAATTCCTCTCCTCATAACTCATGTGAATAGTAGTTGCCCTTGGGTTGTCATGGCAATGAGTAAAAAACCAACAAAAAAATTGCTATGACAAGCACTGTTCATGTGAATACTAACAACTCTTGCCTTCCTTTGCTTTTTGCCACGACAAATGGGTGGAAATGCTCTAAGAGTACTCCATCGGTGGATTTTAACATGACAAAAGGGCCCCTGGGCTGGCAAAACCTGTCCCACCAAGCATTTCCAGCCTGGGCAGGAGGTGGGGTCCACCAAGACTGGGCAAGCCGCAAGCCCAAAGGCAAGATCATCCCGAGCTGCTGCCTAAAGGCACTAACGTCAGTGAATAAATTTAATGTCTTCTAACGCTACCGTGTGTGCATTATGCCAGCAAACACCAAACAAAAAGTGGTGTGCGCCACGTGGCATTTCCTGGGGAGTCCGATGCAAATTTTTTTTTCCTTCATCCAAAAAATATCAAAAAATAAATACCTAACAATATTCTTCACTTTCCAAACCAAAACTTCATACAAATTCCTCTTCTCATATCATAAGTATAAATAAAATTTATCTTATCAAAATTAATCTGATAAGTATAAATAAAATTAAGGGAGTTTCACTAAAACACCCAAAATGGGAGCTGAAATTATATAAAAAACCCAACACCTAAAACACTTTATAAACACACCCAAAACCCATCATTACACACACTCAAAACCCATTTATAAACACACCCAAAAAATATACAATTGTTGACTTTGTGGTTGATTTTGGGTGTGTTTCTATGTTTAAATAGTGTTTGAGTTTTTTTATAAATACATGTCTAGAATTGGGTTTATTTATAAATTTGATCTCATGTCAACAATGATTACTCTTGAGTTGCCATGACAATGGGTGGGAAAACACAAAAAAAAAAAAAAATATATATATATATATATTGATAGACACAATCCATATAAATAGTAACATCCCTTTCTTGCCCTTATCTTTTACCATGACAAATGGATGAAAGCTCTAAAGCCCCTAGTAGCCAATTTTGAAAGATTAGGATCATCTGCTAATCTTTTTGGTACTAATTTTGTGCTTTTGAATATAAATAATTCCGTTTCTTGTTTAAAATATGAGTGTTTTAGATTTAGGGTTTAGTGTTTATGATTTATATTCAACAAGTAATAACTAGAAAAGAAAAAAAAAAGTCTAAAGTGACCTAGCTTTAAACTTAGACATACAATCAACACCATACAAAAGCTTCCACAGAGAATTCAAACTCAACTTTGACACTTACTAATTGTCTCTTGAATGATGGAAGAGGGAAATTGGGAAGAACAATGCAATCTTTTGAGTCTCATGCAGAAGTTTAGCCACACAAATGCATCCAAAATCAACCTACTCATCATGCAGACCAATGGTTAAGTCACAGCACATACATACATTTGAGACATCAACTAGTGGCAGAAGAATTGAGTCTCTATCAACAAACCGGCAGTGTTTCAAATCAATGGCAAGGCTTGCATTTGCATATTAGGCCGGCATAGGGTTTGATGCGAACATATTCCTTTCATCTGTGAGATTAATGATGTATATATCTATCTGTCTGATGAATCAAATTCTGATAAAGACTAATATTTGGACTGACATGAAGGAGGAAAGATGGGACATGACTTTGTGTACAAAGAAAGTGCGAGGCTCAAAAATTTACAGCACCAAAAAGAAAAAAGAATTGGCAAATATTTCATTTCAAGTCAAGTCATAGACATATATATATAAATATTATATTCTACCATGTCGATGACCTATGGCCCCTTGTAGTGTATTATGGAACTACGTACCTTTTCTCCTAATCACTACCTTCAAATTCTTGTTCTTTGTTATCTTAATATCTAAATGAGGAATAATATTTTCTCTTCATCACTCAAGTATTTCATGCCAAGGTGTTGATGGACCCAATATAAGGCCAATGCTCATCTAATTTCATTTGTCAAAATGTTGGCACGTAATACTTTCGAATAACGCTAGGTTCGTCAAATTTATTACCAAATATGTTTATCGAACATTATGCCTTGTGCATTAGGTATAAATGATGTTACAATGTAGGCTCTCGGATTTGAGCAAGTGACAACATTATTCGGTGAGCGTATTGGTGCTGAAAAAAACTTACCTAAGGTGTCTAATAATTGATGAGAACCTTGAATTCTTTTATTTATTTTGTGTCTTTAATTATTCTCCTTTTCAAGTTGTCACATTAAAGAGAAGTCTTTGCTTTAATTGGGTTGCCATCAACCCATTAATCCCATATACCTCTTCAGCCGAAATGGCCCAGGAGCTATTTGCTTGATCCAGAGAATTAATATTGCACGAGTATTTTATATCTTGTCTGTCATAAAGAGCTGAGAATATGATTCAGTACAAATAATGGAGACCTGATTCTTAAGGAAACTGGTATTATAATGAGTGCTCGCATTTCCTGGCAAAATCATGGGCACCAATAAGTGATGTGATTTCGATTAAGGTGGTATACAAACACAAGTTGGGAAACAAAGCAAGAATGTGTCTTAAAGTTATTCAAAGTCTGACAATTAATCATTCTTATATGAAGAGGGCATATGTATTTTAAAACTTCACGTCTGTAAGTGATTTCTGACTGTGTATTATTAGAAATTGATATTTAAGTGGGTGATTATTGACTGTAAATCATTGAAAACCAACATTTGATCAATAGTTAGAAATCGCCTACACATGCGCGGTACATAGACCTTGCAAAATCCGTCTCCCTGAATAATACTAGAGAAAAAAGAAAAAAAAAAGTTCTTTAATTTGAAGTTGCCTAAAGTTGTGCTCACCCAAACATCAATTTGGGCAAAAGTGTCCATTGGTAAACTTTCTCAATGTTTTAAAATTAGTCAAGTCTGGTCCGTTTATTGATCCTCTAAAGTCTGAGGTCTACATGTACAACATCGCAGATGCAACTCGAAGATTTTCTTTGGGCTCTGCACTGCTGGGTGGCAGATGCTGGGTTGGATATTTTGTAGAGAGTACTGAGATGCTTGAAAAATGTAAGAACTCGAGAATGAGAGGGGAAAACATACATGTGAATTTTATTCACTCAAATGCATATTTTTCTTTTCAGTGAACAGCTTCAAGCTTACAATGCAGACATTCAATAAAACATTATCAGAGAAGGAAAAAAAAAATTGAGAGAAATTCAAAACTCGAGAAACAGAAAACCTCGCCAAATTAAAACTTCAAGCCTATACATGATCTTGATCTATGTTACAGAATGTGCAAGTGCAGGAGAGCAGAAAGAAATGGAAGTGGAGATCTTTTTCTTTTGAATAAAATCTTGCCGGGTTTTTCCTTTCAAAGTCTGAAGCCCAAGCCACCCCACCTCTTTGTGCCCTCTTTCTTCGTCTTCTTCGAGTTTGGATCAATAAGGTTTTCCAGTGACTTTGCTTTTCTGTCTCGGGTCCTACCTGCTTCTTTCAGAAGCTCAGTTAGTCTTCTCTTCTCATCTTCGAAATCAGGATTTGCAATTCCGAGCTTTTCTTCTCGCAGTTTAAGGACATACTCCAAAATTTCAATTGCATCTTCAACTCTGAAAAAGATCCACAAAAGATTTGTTAACAACTGAATTTTCAAGGCATAATAATCAAGTTCCTACATTTATCAGTGGCACTGGCACATTCTCGGTAAACACACATAGAATACTTGGCATAATAAAAGCAAAAGGGGCAAAGAAAATTATGTTTCCAGACTATGCAAATGATGTAAACCTGGAAGACAGACATGACTGAGGCAGTCAAAAAACCTCATTCAAGGCCAGTAACAAGATATGATAAAAGTCTGGAAAATGGATTGCAATCCACTAGTGCCAATTGTTGGGGGATATGCAGGTGCTAACACCCAATTCCTGACTATCAACACCCTGGCTACAAGGGTCATACGCATTTTTCCGATTCTAAAGAAGATGAGCAACAAAGGGACAACCCATATAGAACAAAATAATAGCTTTTGCATGGAGTGTTCAAGCAAATGAGAAACATGCTACCATCTTGAGCCAAAAAAATGCAAGCAGAGGACTCAATATATTACCTCCCCATAGCATCATAGGTTGCAGCGAGATTGCTATATACTCCAAGAGTATCTTGATGACAAGGACCACACTCTTGTTCTAATATCCCCCTCGCTTCTTCAAACAACTCAGCAGCCTCATCTATCTTGAACAACTGTACACAAGCCAATCCCATCTGGTTCAGCACAACCCCAAAGAAAGGCGACTTCTTCTCTCCACTAGCTCTAAGTTTCACTATAGCACTCTCAAAAGAGCTCCTTGCTTCTTCATATCTCCCAAGCATGCAAAACATCACTCCCATCCGTGCTTCTATTCCAGCAATTGTGCTTTGCTGTCCTGGTTTATCCTCCAACAACTTCATCGCCTTCTGCAACAGCTTTAGTGCCTCCTCAGGCTCATCCATGGATTCATAAATGGCTGAAATTTCAGTCAACCCACCAGAAATCTCTTCTGCCGTTGTTCCAGGCACAGGCTTCACATATATCCTCAGGGAATTCTCACAATATGATTTGGACTCTCGGATCTTTCCGGTTCTATGATATAGGTCAGCAAGGCGAACAAAGACAGAGGCAACCGAAGGGTGGTTGTCGCCCTTTGATGACTTTAAAACAGTGAGTGCCTTCTGATAAGAGAAGACGGCCTCATCAAAGCGACAAAGAGACATGTAAATGTTACCTATGCTGACATCAATAGCAGCAACCTCATTTTCTTGCCCATTTGCAATCATTGCCATGCTGGCAAGGACAAGATGTTCAAGTGCTGATTCATAATCTCCCTTTGCCTCACATATGAGAGCCATCAGCCGGCGGTCAGCTGCCTCTTCAAGAGATGCTGGTTCACTATGAGCACGGTGAATTTCAAGAGTTTTCTTGCACAATTCTTCTGCTCTTTCAAACTGCATTGCTTGGACATGGGCCTCAGCTAAATATCTGCATATCCAACACCGGTTCACTTAAAATTCAATTACTCTAACTTTATTTCAAGCCATCACTAAAATTAGCTTAGTTCACTTGAAGAATTTAAGCATTCACTTCAAAAAATATTAACCCAAAAAGAAAAAGACACAAGACACACTCTGGGAAGCAAAACACTTGCACAACTATAATTGATACGTGGTTGATACCATTGCATCTTTAACTGGTAGCTGATTTCATAAAAGGCCCTTAAGAATCTATCCCTTTCTCCAGGGTAGATACCTAGAAAACAACACTGTGTCAAGTCAATGTTTATGCCATGTATCCCAGGTGTTTCATTTCAACTTAAGCATTTCAGGAAAAGAAAGCCTTATTCTGTCCCGCCAAATTCAGTTCATATTTGCATCAACCCATATTACATGCAAATGTTTCCAAAACTTATCAATTTGGAAATGAGTTTAACAAACATGAACACCAAGGTCAATTACGCAATGAGCTTAACAATATGCTAACCTCAAGTTACAGTCAACCAATCAGTTCAATTTCTCGATTTTGCTCCAGTTTAAATAAAACTTATTTATCTTTGTTTCCTTCACATTTGGTCAAATTTGATTGTGTTCTACATTTCAAGGCCCAAATTTTCAGCCGGCATAATAAACACTGGCAGAAACTATTAACAAATTCTCCAGATTTGGCTACGCATTCTACCATAATTCTCTACCGAGTTTTTTAAACCGCACTATATATCTTCCATCTTTGACCCATTATCCAAAGAAATCTCAAACAAAAACCATTAATATTACTTCTACAAGAGAAAATAAAATAAAAGAACTAATCTTTTCAGCAATCTCCAAACAATTAAACCGATCCCTATAAGCACACACAAAAACCCATGCACGCAACCCACAAAATTGAAAAAAGTAAAAAGCAGCGAAATTTAGACCTGCAAGTTTCACCAACTCTGGGATCAGTGTCACCCAAAGCCTCGATCTGGATCTTCAAGCCCTCCTCATAGCACTCAATGGACCGGTCCACCTGTCCCAGCATCGAGTACGTGTCCCCCAGCTGCATGTGCCCCGAGAACGCCGCGAGCGCGTGATCCGAACCTCTCTGAACCTCGGGTACCCGAATCGCCCGGTCCAGAACCGGAACTGCTTCCTCGAACCGACCTAAGCTACAGTATATAGCCGCCAGCACGTGCAAGCTCATCGCTAGGTCCAGGCTGGGCTCGCCTTCGACGGCGCACCGCTCGAACGACTTGGAGGCCCGGACCGCATAGTCCAAAGCCTTGTTCGGGCCTTCGCCGGAGGCGATGGTGTCTCGAGCCAGCTTGAGGAGAAACGGGCCGAGATCCGGGTTGTCGAGTGAGGCATCAGCGAGAATCGGGTCGGGGGAAGCGGGTTGGGGCTTCTTAGATCGGGTGGGTGAGGGTTTGGATCGGGAGGGGGACGGGGATGGCGGTTTTTTATGGTGGGGCG